TTCTTGGACAGTGAGGAGGTCATACTGGTATAGAGGGGCAACGAGACAGCCGGCCTTACAAGAAGGGAGGGTGGCTCGCGGGCCAGACAGCAGCGAGGCGACACGGACACATGGCAAAGGTCGCGGCTGGTCTCGGAGCCCCGTGGCTCATCCGAACAGCGGCCAGGCTCGCAGGCGCATGGGGCGTGGCTGGCTGGGGCCGGCCGGCGGCCGCCGTGCAGATGGGCAAAAGCGCCGCCGGACCACGGCATCTCGGGCCACGAGCCAGCACCTGCGGCCCGTGTGCCAGGGAGTACGTGCTGCTCGGTGGGTGGATGACGTCCGCCGCACAGAGGCTCCGCATATTTTCGGGAGAGAGGAGTCTCGGGCCAGGCCGGCCGAAAGGCGCGGACGCGGGGAGCCATGGGCAATGGGCGACTAGGGGAGTTGGGCAGCATGAGAGGCCTTGGAACTGCATGGCCAGGCGGAATGCCTGGCACAGCCACCGCAGCGTGCTCCCTGGAGGAGGCCGGGGCCTGCCCTCGCGAACCATGTGGGAGGGGGGGCTCGCTCTCTCGGGCGCGGTGGGTTCCTGACGCCGCGGCGAAAAGTCAGCTTGAAAAAGAAAACACGGCCGAAGGAGTTGCCTGAGTGCCGGAACAACGCTCCGGATGGACCCCGCGGTGGTGGGCAACCGGGGTGCACCATTCGCCCGTCCGCTGGGAGCTCCCCGCGCAATGGCGACGGTCGGGGGCCACTTGGAGGGGGCCGGACCGTGGAACCGAAGCATGAACATCGCCCGGGGGGCGTGTTTCCTGGCGAAGGGCCTTGCAGTGGCTGGTACGTCCTGGGTCCGGGGAGACTGGGCACGGGGCGCATTTTTCGAGCACCCCCCTCCCCTCAGGGTCGGATACCAGTAGACGGGGTCAACGAGACAGCCTGGCCGCTGGGCTCAAAGGTAGTTCGTCGTGAGGTCGGGCCGGGAGGGAGGCGGATTGGCAGGAAATGAGCATGCCGGACGAGGGGACGGCAAGGGGGCTTTCGGGCCCGTAGGGAGGCCCCCCGGTGGTGGCCGCCGGCATTG